AACAAGTGTTCCTCCTTTGTAGCCACTAAATAAATCTTGTAGCAATTTCCAATCAGAATTTCCTTCACCAAGCCTTTGCGCCACACCGAACCATGAAAGGCCTCTACACAATCCATCAATCTAAACCCTCCAACCGAGAAAGGAGGCGGTGTGGGCCTAACACGGCGGGGATCAACAGTGGTGTTTGGTCTTCCCTCATGGTTACAGTCTTTGACAATGAATTTCTTTTCACCATCTTCATCCTCAGTCTCTTTGATCAACATAGCCGGGAACCACGCATCCACCGCTTTATCTATGAAAGAACTAACTTCCACCATTGTCCCAGGACAAAACATAGACTTATCCACTTCCTTCAATGGTTAACAAACACACAGAAATTACAAAAAAAAAAGTTAAAACCTTTGAACCTTTGAAATAAAGGTCAGGCCTTTAAGTACTAATTCAACTAAAAGCATGAACAACAAGACAAGAACCTCGTACCTTAAGTTCTGGTCGGACCCATTTTGAGTCGATCCAGTCAACATGAGCTCTCAGTCTTGTCTCCTTGAACATGATTATGTCCGGAAGTGAATCAAAGTAGACCAAATAGTCACTATCCTCTGCTTTCTTGTTTATAACTACACCAGTCCACCACCCATCCCTGAGGTATGCATCGACCACTGTTCCTTCCTCCAAATCAACACCAACGTATTCTTCCTCAGGCGGAATGGGTCGCAGGAGACTTTGGTGGACTGTTTTTGTTAGAGGAAATGAACCGTCATCACTTTGCAAAGTCATGTAACGGACAGAAACTTTACTGCGCCCTGATTTGGTTAGGTTTTCCTCAAGAACAGCTCTAAAGTAAGCTCCTTTCTCCTTAGAACACACTTCTACCTCAAACCCTTTCATCATCATTGCTCTTTCTCTTGCTCTTGAGAAAGATAACCCTAGAACAATCAAATATTTTCAAAGATCCCGCCTTTCTCCACAGATATTAAAACGAAAAAGAAACCCTCAGAATCTGAAAGTGAAAACAGCTCATTTACAGTGTGCAAGAGTAGACGTCACATATTCCTTTTTGACTCATTAATTTTATTTTTCACTTTTATTGGCGTGGTTTAAATTACGAAGAAAAAGGAAAATAAAAAAATTTCCGAAAATAAGGCCAATGGTCATTATCAGTTGTTAACAATTAGCAAAACATAATCCAACTAACATTGGTAGGTTTACTAATGGCCACAACCCACAATAGTTTGAGATTAGCTTCACTTCTCTACATGACTCAACGACTAATGAATACATGATTACTCTACTGTAGGTTGTGTTTTAGACTCAACTGATGGTAATTCTCGGGTCACTTTAATAACTGAAAATAGTACAGTGTCTAACTGTTATCACGGGAACAAAATGCAAATTACATACACATGTAACTGAGAATCAGTATTGCACTTAGAGATCAGATGCTTTCATTTTTCTAGGCCGCTTATGAGCTGGTGAAGGAGTATCTGCTTGTCTTCCAGGACCCTGTAGGATTCATTCACACAACAGATTGTTATTGAGGTCTAGGCTTATATACATATGCAGAGAAATCGATAAGAAAACAAAGACAAGACTCTGATCTGGATTACCTTGCGCTTTTGTTCCTTCTTGATTGGTCTTTCAGCTGAACACAGACACACACCTTGCAAGTTAGAGATGGTGAAGTAGTAGTAGATACAATTCTGAAACAAAGAAGATAAAGGAAACGTACCTCCAAAACTGAATGGCTCAGATGCGAAAACACGATCCTGATCATATACAAAGGGATTAGAGTGGATAGGAAGATGAAACTGCAGTAAGAATTGGCGATTCAAGTTATGATGCTGACCTTTGGAGTATCTGGCATTGCGGCATATGTCCCTTCACGGTGTGATGAACCTTCTGATTCTTTATACTGAAGCTGAAATTAGGTGACCATCAAAACCAGGCCATAAAAGGATGCAAATTGTGAATTGATGTGAGATAGTTTTAATACATGGAACCTGTATCATCTAGTTTACCTGCTTCTGAAGATTCAGTAGTGTTAGAATTTCTTTCCGTAATTCAAGATGCTCATCGCATACAGTTTTTGTGGGAACCTTTGGCTTTAAATTAACCTGTAAACAGACAACTCTATACACTAAAAATCCATTTTGCAAAAAATCTAAAAAGCAGCTCTAATCAAAACTCATAAGAACCTTGCTTGAGTGAGAATGCCCTTTAAGGCGTTAGTTAAATCTTATTCCTCAGTCCATGGGAAAGATAAGCAAATGGTATAGAAATAAATAAAAAGAGTTAAACAGAAGAAGAAGCGAAACAAACCCCAAGATCTTGCAGAGTCTGCTCAACGCGCTTGATCGTTCGAAGACCAACAGCAGAGCTTGCAGCTTGGACCATTTGTTCAAGTCCATAGGTTCTCAAATATACATGAAGCTGAAAATTTGACAAAATTTCACCGAAAAAGAATCAATCATTGGAAAACCCAAATGAAAAAAGGATAGAGAAGGAGCGCGAGACACTCACCATGCGCAGAGAGGCAAGGGTAGAGGCATAATCTGCCATAGTTAGTGTTGATGGAGCCACGGCAGTTGCAGGAAGTTGAGAATTGGAAGATGGAGATACACTACCGATATTCTCATTCGCAGGCACATCAGGCTCTGCCGCACGCTGGAGATTCAGAAAGACCAATCGTTTAAGAGACAAAATATGATGAGAATAGAGTTCTGATATGCGTCTAAAGTAAAAGGCTATCTTCAATCATGGTAACCAAATTTCATCTATTGTTGTTTGAATTGTACGAGTGAGCACATTGATTTTAAGAAAACACTTACACGGGCAGCCAAACGCATCTCTGTGATTCTCTTAGCCTCAGCAAGAATCTGTAGTTATGGGATACGTGTAAGAGAAAGCAAAGAAGTATATTGCCCTTGCTTGGTCAAAATTAAAGAGAAAAACCTCAGCATCTTTCTTCTCTTGGTGTCTACTCTGGGACAAGACCATAGACAATGCACGTTTGCGCTCTCTATCGCGTGACATATCATACGGCTCCTGCTTATGCCGAGAAATTAAAAAGAAATAGTATTTAGAGATATGTTCTGTTCATTAAAAACACGACAAGGATAGGTTGCTAAAATTATATAAAACATAAGGGTTCTTTTTAGTTTGCTAAGAAGAAGAGATATAAAAGAGGACGTTGACCTTTATAAGAGGATGGTTTGCCAACTCTGCTGGTGACTGAGCTCTAGCACGCAGCAGGGCCCGAGTTACTACAGAAGAAGTTAAGTAAGAAAATTCTCAGTCCTAGAAATTTCTAACGAATCCTGGTGCAACACGAAATAGAAACAGAGAGAAACAAAGATGCAGGTGTAAATGAACGGATAAAGTTCCCAAACATACCACTATAGTAACGATCCTTCAATTCCTCAATAGTCCGCGATAATGGAAAGCGATCAGCAATAACAGTGAAACGGAGATCAAACCTTTCACACAATTCAAACAACTGATCTGTCTCTTCCTTGGTCCAGACCTACAAGTTGGGAGCACAATCAACAAAGTCGACAGTATCCAGAGCAAGCATGTACAATGCCTATGCAGAAAATGTCTATGTCACAACAACAACTAAAAAACGTGAAACAGATAGTCTTCCGTGAGCAGACACTTACAGGATCCGTTAAATGATTCTCATACTCATCGTCAGTGTACTTCAAAACATCAACTGACTGCGTTTTCACAAAGAAAAAAAAAAGCACGAATCAGAAGAAGCTTAAACAGAGAGGAGACAGTAGAACCTAACTGTTACGAGACTATAATAGAGACTCATCAACTCGATATAAGAAATACCTTGTTATATTTGGCAAAGGAATAATCACCTGTAGGTGGAACATCATTAACCACTCTAACCTGTGAAGACGTATATATATCCCACGACAATATACATGGCATTAGAAAATAATCAAATGCTAATAACGCTCCACATATACAAAACATACCCAATGATAGAGCTGCAAATCATCTTTCCTAGCAGAGCTTTTAACGGGAAGCCATTGCCAAGCAACCTGGAAGAAAGAAAGAAGAGATTCTTACCATATCATCAAACAAACAAATATTCATCTAAAAAGAAGAAGTTAAAGTCCTTGAAAAAATGTGACCTTCTCATCAGGGGGAGGGCGTCGCTTTAAGTGGTTAACATCAATTGAAGGCATAAGAGGCGCAACGCCACCAGTAAGCGCATAAACCTGAAATTCGACGGAAGTTAACAGCTAGAAGCTAAAGATCAATCGATTCCAGGGGGGATTGATTGTTGGGAGTCATTAGAGCTCACCTCGCGAGAAATGCCATCTGGTTTTCGATGGGACTCCTTGTGGGGTCGAGATTTCTTCTCCTGATTCAAAGACAGTGAAGGAGTCTTCGGCAACCCGTGGAGGATGTCCTTTGCGTCTGTGCCACCCATTCCAATCCTCCACACTTTGGATCTTCGATTCGAAATTTAGGGTTTGTTTAGATAGCAAGATTGGGGATTTTGAGCGCGGAAGAATACGTTGGACTCTCTCTTAAACGCATCGTTTTACAAACCAGGCTTTTGCAGGTTAAGTTAGCCCATATTGAGCCCAATGCGAATTAAAAAAATTCAATGGTATAAAAAATACTCAAATACAGAATGATCAGAATCTCTCTCGTAATCGAAGTTCGTTTTTTAGTGTGCGAGAATAGTTGTTATGAGTAGTTGTAGTAGTAGAGATCGAATCAGCGAATTGCCGGATGAGATTCTTGGCAAAATCCTGTCATTAGTTCCGACAAAGGTAGCTGTTTCCACATCGGTTCTGTCCAAGAGATGGAGGATGAATAATAATAATATGATGGTTCATGTAGACACGCTTAGCTTTGATGAGTCAGTGGTTGTGTATTCAAACGAAGAAGAAGCAGAAAGTGGTACAGATCGCTTCTTAGAATTCCTAGACAAGACATTAAGAAATTGTCAGATTAAGAAGATCAAGAAATTGTCTATGAGTCATCGAGGAGGCCGTTTCACAAAGTCCCCCGCTGTCTACGGTTGGATCTGGAGTGCATTGGAGGGAGGTTTATTGGAAGAACTACACTTGGAATGCACCAGAAACGAAGTTAATTTAGAGAGAAAGTTGTTGACGAGCAACACACTGGTTAAGCTCACACTATCCCGTGAATATTGTCTTCTTGTCGACCGTGTCTTTCTCCCTGCCCTCAAATCACTTTCTCTCTTAACTGTTGGAGGCTTTGATTACGACAACTATCGCCGCCTCATCAAAGGCTGCCCTGTCCTTGAAGAATTACTCATTACTGATATCGCTGCTCATGCTCTTGATCCTTATCCTCCATGTGCCACCGCCTCTGTCAAAAGTCCTTCCATCAAGCGACTTGTCATCTCTCTCGATATGCCCTATGATTCTCCTCATAAACACTCCTTTCAAGACTTTTATAATCAATGTTATGTTAAAGCACCAGGTCTTGTCTACCTTGACTATTCTAGTCATGTCTTTGCGGATTATCGCTTCGTTGATTTGGATTCCCTTCTCCATGTCAGACTCAATCTCAAGTTATGGGACCATCACAAGCATTTTTTGTCTGATCTTACTAAATTAGCTTCCGGTATAAGCAACATTACAACCCTTCACTTGTCTCCTGATTCACTTGAGGTACGTAGATATAGTATGGTCTCTCTCTCTCTCTCACTTCAATTCAATCTACTGCTTGCTTGCTAGCTACCATCCATGGTCTCTCTCTCACCTTATTGTTCATTATTTTAGGCGTTTCATTTCTGCTGTAAATCTATGCCGGTCTTCAAAAACCTCCTTAACTTATCTATTGAGAGCAACAAGAATAAAGGTTGGCAAGTAATGCCACTTTTGCTTAACCGTTGTCCAAATCTACACACTCTAGTCTTTAAGGTAATGTTTCATCTTCTCCCTTCTTCTTCTTCTTCTTCTTCTTCTTCTTCTTCTTCTTCTTCTTGTTTATAAGATTGGTGTTTTTTCAGGGTCTTGTGCACAGAGTCACAGATAAATGCGGAGATGCATGCGCTTGCACTCCTTATAACAAACACAAGAAGAAGAAGAAGAAGAAGAAGCTTATCTCTTGTTTATGGACATGTCAAGTGAAAGTGCTAGAGATTGAAGAGTATGGAGGTTCTTTTCAAGAGCTGAAACTAATGAGACATTTCTTGGGAAAGTTGGAATGTCTTGAAACCGTGAGAGTTGGTATTGAAGCGGACAGGAGCATGTTCTTGCGAGCTAATCTCTTAACTCTCCCCATTGTTTCATCAAATTGCAACAACATCCACTTCATCTGATTCTTGCTTTCTCAATATCTACTGCCCTTTTTAAAAAAAAAAATATTTAGAACCTCTCCAAAGATATGGATATGTTTGAGAATAATGATGTTTCATTTTAAGACAATTTGTTGTATCAAAATAGCAATGCTTTATACAATTTTCCGGTTTTCTGTTATCAAGTCTTCCTTTCTTTTTTGGTAAAATTATTCAAAGAAAAATATATCACGTAATGTGTACATACTGTAGTTTTCCAATATACAATTTGAGAAATTAAGGAATCACTCAAAATATTATAACGAGTTTAATGACAGAAATGCTTTATCTAGTTAACCAAAACAGAAGAATCTAGAAGGTTGTTCAACCATCATTGACCGTACGAGAAAGGATTAGATCATAATATTTTCTTAAATTTCCTTTTTAGAAAAAAAAAAGAAAGAAAGAAATAATATCTTCTCTCATCGTTTCTTGCTGAAGATGAACTACATCAAAACCATGTTGTAAGAAGGACCACAATGACCTCTTGCTTTTCTGCTGCTGCATACTCTATGTTGACACTCGATCAATGACAATTTTGTAAATTTACAATACTTACCCAAACAAAGGGCCATTGTGTCTTGCTTCTTTCTTCATTCAACTTAGTTGTTAAGACTATACACACTGACACAATCGCACAAATATATATATATGCATGTCTTGAAAAGTAATTAGATACCTAGTTAACAGCTATCAAAGCATCATACGACGTCAGAGACAGATGGCGTCGATAATGATGCTCCTTAGAGCATTGATGAGTTGCCGCCTTATCCCCAAAGAGGAGCCGACGGCGGCTGCGTCTTTGTCAGCGGTGAAACCTTACAGAAGTAGGGCCAGAAACGAGGCGAGGAAGAGTGTTTCGGGGATTGATTTATCGCTTCCTGGCGATCATCACGAGTTTATCATCGAAACTACGTCTGGGGTCAACGATATGGATGAAGGATTTTACTGGAATATCGTCAAGAGCAACTTGTTGATGTAAGTTTGTAAAGCGTATATGTATAAATAATGTGAACCTGGCATAATATAATGTTTTGTATATCGTTACTTATCACTGGTTCGACCATGCCTATTTAGCATGAGTTATATGAGCATTTTGGACTACCAAATTGTAGAAGTGCTTACATATGTTGCGTGTTTTTTTTTCATATCAAGAATAAATCATGTGTTGTGACAATTTGAACCAAGTTGGGTTATGACAAGCTCAATTTTATGAAAGTTGACATAAAATAGATGTTGGTTTTGATTGTCTATATATGTGATGCATGCCAGGATGTGATTGTGTAAGCAATCAGTGGTTAACCATTATATAATAAATTAATACATTTTGACGTGTGTTATTTATCTCGAACCTATAATTTGTCGTAAATAAAACGGACCAACCGAATATGAACAGATTTGAGTTAATCTACATCCTTATTCCACAATAACACCAATTATGTTTTAAGAATCTTTCCCTGAAAATTAAATTATGAAAAGAAAAGAAATATTGAATAATTCACATACTGTTATATCACAAATCACAATTTCCTCGTGTGATGATCATGTCTTAATATAATCGAGAAATAAAAAGGAAAAGGAAAAAAAAAAAGCAAATAAAATTAAGTCAAGATTCGTATACCAAGGTCGTATCTAAAATGGCATCACGCACGAATGAATATTACACCAAACGTGACGCAATTGAATTCCTCGTTACGTATCATAATCGTAAATTTCCTTAATTATACGAATACGATGTCATTTCATTGCACAACTGGTCCTGCAAGAACCAAAAACTCTCATCATCGGTCCACATGTTGTCCCCACCAACACAGCCCCAATCGTTGAACCCACCGAAACCCGTTTGACCCACTGGGTCATAACCCGACCCGTTCACTACCCCTCCTTGAACGTCCGATAACGTCTCAGCTGGGGAATTCGAAGACGTTGCGGACACGTCTGACGCTGGCACGAACTGTTGTTGTTGCTGGTGACAATGATGATTTTGGTTAAACTGATCAAAACCCGGTTCGACCGGACTCGGTTCGTCAATAGGTTGACTTGGGTCGGTGACCATAGACTCCACTTGATCATACGTGGGGGATGGTGTTTGGGCGTTGATTCTTTCCACGAGTCTAGGCATCCAAACATTTTTCATTGTCTCCTTGAAAAGATTGCTATTAACATCGCATCTAAGGTGTTTAGCTTGTTTCTGCACCCGAGTTCTCCAATAATTTTTTATTTCATTATCTGTTCTTCCCGGGAGATACTGTGCAATCTTTGACCACCTAATATAACAAAACAAAAAGAATCTAATATTTAATACCAATATCCTTTTTAATAGAAACTAGATTTTGACCCGCGCTTCAAAAGCGCGGGTTTTTGTTAGATTATAAACAAATTTTGATATGATTTAGTATTTTAGAAATGATGTACATTATTAGGCTACAAATCTTAATATATAAAATAGATTTTTTTGAAAAATTATGTAATTTATAAATTAATTTATTTGAGATTTTATATGTAAGTTTTTAATGTAACTC